ATACATTCACTTACTGTCAAGAAGGCTGTTCAGAGAGAAAGATCATGTTCTAGAACAGAATCTGCTATTCCATCTCCCTTGCTATACAAAAGCATATTAGTTTAGGTACTTATTCCTAGAAAAGACTTTCAAAGAACGACCTTGAAGTGTTCCAGTCGTTATCTAGCAGTGCAATGTGGGATCACTGTTTTCTTCCTTTTGCAAGTATGAACTTTCCAAAATGAACATGGCTTGCCTTTGAAGTAAGAAAAAAATGTGTTAAAAATATCTGAATGTGAATTTCATTTTCCAGAAATGTACAGGAGAGATGAGCAGGCTGTGTAAGCAAGGCTCCTTCCTCAGGAAAACCAGGACAGGAAAGGGACACGAACAGAAAGCTTTGTCCCTCAGCATTACTCAAGATCCGATGAGAATGAAATCCTCCTGTTTTCATTTCCCATGCTTCTTCCTCACTATTGCTTTCCTTTTTCTCAGCCCATTTTCCTCACTGTTGTAGGGCACTGACAGTCAAGAAACAGCGCTTCTTCCCAACCCCCCCCCCCACCCCGGAGAGCAGTATTTCACAAGCTCCTTGGATTCTGAGCTCAGCCACGGACCTCTTAAATAATTGAAAAGCAGGAATGCTTTTGAACAATGTCCTCCCTGAGCGGCTGGTCAGGCCAGGCCAGTGCCAGGTGCTTTACATGTTGTAGTCAATCTTCAAAACAACCCTGCTGACAGGTCTCGTTGTGCCTCCCTTATAGGAAAGAAATGAAGGAGGAGAGGCTGAATGCATTTCCCAGAAGCCAGCATTCAGGCAGTGGTGAGCTCACTCACACTTCAGGGTCTTCCATGCTGCTGCTAGACGGTGAAGCTGAAACCCACATTTCAGTCCCGTGATGAATTATGTTTTCTTTCATTGTTTCTGTGACTTTAAGGCCTACATTTTCCTTAAGTGTTGTGTCACAGTTTCCTCACATCTCCACAACAGACCTCCAGCTTGCAAATTCATAACCCAATCTGATTTGGTCGGTGGTTATAATAGGGGCCCTCAGTGAGAATTTTTTCGTTGTTCATTTTTTGGTAGGTTTTAATTTTTATTGGTATTTTCAGATCTATTTATGAAAGTGTGTATTTGTGAGTGTATGTGTGTGTGTGTGTGTGTATACTCTAAAAGTTAGGTTGTTGTTCAAGGTTTATTATAAAACCAGTAGTTATCCAGTTGGTTACACTATCAGTTGGCTAGTTGGTATACTTGGTTTCAATCTGGGTCAAGAAATTCTTAGAATAAATTCATTCATTCAGCAACTCCCACTGCACACCTGCTCTTTGTCATGCACTGATGACACAACACGAAACAAGACAGAGTCCTGCTCCAGGAATCAGGGCTGGGGGTTGGTAGGGTATGTCAGCTCTTCTCCCGTTAGCAAGAAGAAGGTGCTGGTCATGTTCCTTTCTTGCTCCCCTTCCTCTTTCCTTCTCTCCTTTTCTTTCTTTCCTCAATGAACATGCATTGCGTTTGTTGTTCAAGGCAGGTGCTAGGAGCGGAAGAAAGGAGTGAACAAGCTGCCTGGTGGTAGTGCCTGCCCTCATGGAGCTGTGGCCTACACAGGAGGCCATTACCATGCAGTGTGAGCAGTGCTGTGTGTGGGAAACCACAGGGGTTCTGCAAGTTTGTAGTTGGTGGTGGTGGTGGTGGGGTGACTTGACCTAGACTACCAGGGAAGTCCATCTGAGCAAGTGACAGCTAAAGTGAGACCAGAATGAAGGTAGGAAGTACCCAAGAGAACAGCAGGGGAGAGGGTTTTCCAGGAGGGGGAATGGCATCTGTGACACCAAGCTTGTTTAGTAAAATGAGCATGTGACTTCAAATTGCAATAACAAGTTAGGTGGAAATAGTCTGGGGGGTGGGGGGAACAGGTAGGTAACTACCACAGTCCTAGAGAGATGATGGTTTGGACTATGGCAGTGGCAGCAGAGATGATGATATTTTAGAAGCCAGCACATAGTGTATCAGTGGGGAGAGGGGAGTGGATGGAGGGGGCAGGAAGGCCCAGCCTGGTTATATACATGCTGGGTGTTATCTGAACAGAGTGACAAGCTACCCCATAGGCTTAAAGGGGAGGCAGTCTCAGGATCGTGCTTGCATTTCAAGACTAGCATTCAGAAGAGGATGGATGAAGGCAGGGCGGATAGACATGGCATGGTAACATGTGTCTGAGGAAGTGTGCACCCATTTCTCGAAATCAGTGTCGCAAACCAATGTTTCCTCATTAAAAAGAAAAAAGTGGCGCAGCGGGTTGAGCACAGCACTGTGAAGCTGTCCACAGCCTCTGTAGCGTGGGTTTAATTCCCTGCCGGCCAGGGAGATTCCCACATGGCATGGCAGATCTCTCCTGCTGCTCCCCTCAGCAGTGTATTTCTGTCCTTCTGCCTGTTCTGCTCCCTGCTCTGTCTCTGGTGAATCCTCTCACCCTCCTGCGCCTCTGGCCTGAACCCCAGCTCTTATATAAAAATAAATAAATCTAAAAAAAAAGTGGATGACAGACACCAGTTGGGAGATGATTGTGATGATGGGAACTTGGCTGGGTGGCAGCAACAGAATGAAAAGTTGTGACCTCCAGACACAGGCATGGAGGACTGACATCTGGCCATCCTGGCTGACTGGCGTCCACTATCACAAAGGCCAGTGTTCGACAGTGACAGTGATGGTGCCAGCACCTTTCGGCAAAGGCAGGAGCTTCCACCACCTCCTAGTCTTTTTCGGGCTATTGATGAAATGGCTCTTTCATCTGTTAATTTCTGCCATCACAGGTCAATTTCTGCCTATTACCCATCACGTAGGCATGGTGACACCTGTGATCTTGTCCTGTTCTCCAAATATAATTTCACATCTAATTTTTTTAAGTACTAAAAAATACATTATTGTGGGGAGCACCGCCGTCGGGAGCCGGGCCTGTGCAGGGGCGTCCTGGCCGCCCCTCGGGTTCACCTTTGCCGTGGTCCCCGGGGGCCTTCGTGCGGGCCCTGGGCCCCAGAGCCCCAAGGCGCCGTCCGCGCGAGGCCGCCAGGCGGGCGCCCAGACCAAGCCAACCAAAAAGTGTTTGGGGCAAAAAAGAGAAATATCACATTGTATTTTTAAATCGTGTCCCCGCTCGTCTCCAGGCCCTGCTGCGCCAGGAGGACTGCACGGGCGCTCCTGGCTGTGCGCGTGAGGCTGCACCCCTAGACCCGGGCCGCGCACCCCCAGACGGGAGCTGCGGTGCGTCCTGGCACCTGCTGGCAGCGGCTACGGGCCACGCTGACTGTAAACTCGAGGCCCCCTTGAGTGCAGGCTCCCCGTGAGCAGACACCAGACCGCGTCGTTCACCCCTCACGGCCACCTCAGGACGCGGGCTGCACCTGCGGACTCCGAGTTGATGAGGCGCTTACATCACCGCACCGTTGCCGAAGCAGCCGCGCTCCCTGCAGAGAAGTACTAGTAGCCTTCAAAGCCAGGCCCTGAGCAGGGCCTCCCCAGTGGCCTAGCGGGTTGAGGCTCAGTGTTTCAGTGCTTGCTGCGGCCTGAGTTCGATACCCGGCCCGGGGAGTCAACCCACGCAAGGTGCAGCGGGCCTCTCTCTTGCCCGCTGCTGCCCTTAGTGGTGTAATTCAGTAATGTTGTCTCCTCTCCCCACCCCATTCCCTGTGTCCCCCATTCTCCCCTCCCCCCCATTCCCTGTGTCTCCCCCCTCCCCCCAAACAGGAATCCAACTATATGAGAGCAGGTCTAAGAATATGTATTGAAAACAAGTGGAGCTCGTCAACTTGGAAGCAAGAACCTCAAGTGATTTATCAAACCAATGTTTTCAGATGATTAAAAATACACACAAACTTATGCATTAGAATCTTTCATCATTTTTTTTACTTCTTGATACACTTTGAGTACCCTCTTTAGCCAAAATCTCATGTACTATCTTCATTTTTTGAGGTGACGTAACATGTAACATTTAATCCAGATGTATCCCATATATTGGTGCTGATAAAACGGAATATAGCAGCTTCCATAATATGGTGGGAATGACCAAGGACTTTCCCTGCTTACCCTCTAGTGCAGGGGATGGCATTAGACAGTTCCAGGCAGAACTTTGGAGCTAACCCCCCTGTCTGTTTGCACTAGTGTGTGCAGTCTCTTTATCCGCCTGGCAGTGAGAGGCGAGCCATTTCTGTAGTTTTTGGCTTACATAATAAATGTTGGGATGTGTGTACACACCTAGTTTTAGAAATTTCACTAGTATCTTTATTTACTGATCCCTTATAAAATGGGAAGATGGAAGATTTTTGAGGCCTCCCTGGTGGCGCGAGGGGTTAAGCACCACACTGTGAAGCCTCTGCAGCATGACTTCAAACCCAGGCAGGCCAGGGAGCAACCCACATGGCGAAGCAGACCTCTCCTGTCTCCACACTGCTCCCCAGCAGTGTATTTCTCGGTCTGCCTGTTCTGTTCCCCACTCTGCCTCTGATGAATCCTCTCACCTCTGCCCCCGCATCTCTGGCCTGTACCCCAGCTCTTGTATGTATGCATAAATAAATAATGGGAAGATTTGTCTTCCTTGTAATAAAAATGAAAAAAAAATTATTTCTAACCCTAGGGAAAAAGACTACACACATTTATTTGCTTCCATAATAAGGAAAGGAGGCAGTTAAGATAAACATGGGAAGAAATATTTTCTGATAACTCCCTATTTTGAACAACTATGATCAAAACAATACTGGGTTTACCTTTGGTTAATGTTAGGTTGCTTTTTAGCACATGTTGGCTTTATTTTAAGAGCAATGATATCATAAGTAAAAAGAAGGATTTCTCAGAACTAAAGTTGAGTAATAAGTGAGACTGAGCAAATATATCAATAAGCCTTTATCCTGTGCTGTTTATCACACCACTTGGAAATATTAAAAGATAAAATTAAAAAAATAAATAATATTTCTAAAACAGGTCGCCCATCTCTAAAAGCAAGCAGCTAATATAACGAGCAGGCGATGGTCCCCATCAGGAAAATGCCCAGACCCAATTGCCAGCAGAGTATTGGCTATTACCATTTTTTTTTTTTTGAGATTGTCAAACAATTGTATTCTTTACATGTTTCTTTATCAAAGGTGTAATTAATGACAAAGCTACTACCATTTTTAAAATGCATACATTGGGTCCCCAAACTGAGCAAATCAAATGAAAATCATTTGCTGCCAAATCAGAACAATTCTTTCATAAGAGTGACCTTGCACGAAGTTCATTCTGGTAAATCAGTGTCAAAATGACAAGAAAAGTCAGTGTCTCATGAGGCACAGTGTATAACAAGCAAAAATCTCCAAATTTGTGTTTAGAAATGGAATGTTAAAGGGTTTTGATAAAGAGTTCAAGACCAAATTATGAAGGACATGAAACAAATTCATTGAAACATTTTGAATAAAAATATGAAGACTGTGACTTTATGCTCAATTAACAGGAAAACACAATCTTGAAGGTCAAATGTGGTAGATGATGATGATCTGATTTTTCCAGACATTCAGAAGCAAAATCAGCCATTAGAGATGTCACTGAAAGACTGGATTAGAGGAAATTTTGAATCTACACATCAACAATATCACAACTGTTGTGCTTTTTGTCTTTGCAAGAGTTACTTTCTGAGAGATTTCGAAGAAAGCATTCTCTGAAGAGTAGCTATTAAATCTTTCAAGCCCTCAAAATCAAGCCAGCCTGAGATACAGTGACCATTTCTGGACCTGCTGAGAAAAAGGGAGAATGGGAGTTAAGGAAGGCATGTGATCCTTCCTGTACACCTTTCAGTGAGGTCCCAAGCATCTAGCATCTTGCAATTCTATGGAAAATTCCAGGAAGCTGTAAGGAGCAGTGGTGTAAAAATCTATTTTAATTCAACCAGGTGGCAGAAAACACTTCAAACACATGGAGAACAATGTAGAGTATCAAATATACCAGGAACAACAATTTTTATGTTCATCTATTCAATAAAAAGTCCGTCAGTACTGGGCCCTCGGATATAAAAGAAGTAAATATAGCCCATGCCCTCTTTGTCTAAGGACGAGGAAAACTACCAACAAATGCAACACATCGTGCCCTTGGCTTGGGAGAACGAAAAAGAAGTCAGAGACAGCGACAGTGAGGAGGCATCATTTGAGCAGGGTCTTGAAGACTATGTAGGAGTTCTCTCCTTTGGGGGGAGGGAGATATCCTAGACAGAGATGATAGCACAAGGCAGAGAAATGAGAAGGCCAGATTATTTGATAAATGACTAGAGCGTCCCAAGAATCCAGAAATAGGATCCACCTGGACAAGACAAATACTGAAGTACCTTTATCCCTAGATTTTATAGAGACTAAGGTAGAGTATTAGTTACAACTCTTTTTTTTTTTTTAACAGAAATGAATTCATTTCTCATTCATTTCTCTCATTCATAAGAGAGAGAGCTTCCTCTTCTTTAACGACCTCAGGACTTCCTGCAGTCAGGCCGAGAAAGGGGTTAGAAACTGGAAAGTCAGAGGAACTCTCTTCTACTTTTTGTCTTGGTTTTATTTCTCTCCATGTCTATGTTCTATTAGTCAGAAGTCCTTTGGTCATGTGACAGAAATATAACTAAAAATAATTCTAGTCAAAAAGGAAATTTATTAGGGCCTCCCCTGGTGGCGCAGCGGTTGAACGCTGGGCTGCAAAGCTGCCCACAGCCTTTGCAGTGCCGGTTCGATCCCCAGCCACCGGCGAGGGTCCCACATGGCGCGCAGACCTCTCCTGCCGCCCGCTTCTCCTCTCAGTAGCACTTTTCGTCAGTCTGCCTGTTCTGTTCCCGGCCCTGACTCTGGTGAAGCCTCTCACCCTCCCACGCTTCTGACTGTATCCAGTGCTTGTATAAATAAATAAATAAATCTTTAAAAAAAAAAAGATATTTATTAGCTCAGAAGTGGGAAGTGCAAGCATAAACTATTACATGGATGAATCTTGAAGAGATTTTGCTGTGGGAAGTAAGATACTCATAAAAGGGCAGTTGTTGAACTCATAGAAACAGAAAGTAGACTGGTGGTTGCAGGGCCCGGGGAAAGGAATGTGGAGATGTTGTTTAAGGGCTTCATTTAGGGAAGATGAAAAAGTCCTAGAGATGTTTTGGTGGTGATAATTGTACAACAATGTGATGTCACTGAACTTACACACTTAAAATGGTTATAATGGTCAATTTTGTTATGTATATATTGACAATAAAAAGGGGGAGTCTAGGAGTGAATACAATTCATGCACAACTAGGTGCAGGGATATCATTGGGGTCCTGTCACCTATTTCACTCTACTTTCATTTTCCAAAGACTGTTAAGGGGAGGCAAAGATAGGTATTCTCATCTTAAATCATCTATAGAACTAAAAATTGCAGCCAAGAGAGAACCTCTTGCCTGAAAGTTCTAGTTGAAATTCAGAAGATGACCCTGCCATGGGGACTGAGACCCATTTCTGAACCAATCACTGTAGCCAAGGAGTTAAGTGCTTTGGTCAGCCAAGTCTGAGTCATGTGTCCAAGCCTGAGCTGGTCACTGTAGCCAGGACAGCAGAGTTCTCCGGTCGGGGCCAGCCCTACCTGAACCACAAGAACAGAGAGTGAGAGCAGGGTGATTCCCCAAACAGATCCTGGGCAGTCAAAACACATCCATCATCCATCACAGCTTCTTTTTCTACAGACCAGTTTTCTGTCTTTTCCACCAAAAAGGCAAAAGGAATATTATCACCCCCCAGCTTGTTATGCTTTATTCAAGGACTTTTAGCTCTAATTCACCATCCCTGGGAGATTCTGACCAATGCAGCCTGTCTGATTCACTGTGGGGGTGGGCGTGGCAGAGTGCTAGGGATAATATGGCCACTATAAGCCCATTTTTGTGAATGTAGGGGTAAGTTACAAGTGTTCATAGGAGCAAGGCAGATAGCTCAAAAGGAGTTTATTACAATAGATAACAGATAATTTCTACAGGAAAATGATGTAAAGAGATTGCATGAAAATAATTTTGGCTGCTAAATATAGGATGGGTTGGAGCAGGAGAATTTGATGGCCAGAGAACTAATTATAGCTACTGCAAAAAAAGATGACTCTGAAATGGCTAGCTTATGAAAATGAAAATATGGAAACATTACCCATGAAGAGTGAGATGATAAAAGAAATGCCTGGGTTGGGTGGGGTAGGATGAAGAGGATGATGAATTCATCTTCAGATGTGTTTCCTCCAAGAGGCTTGTGGAGCACCCAGGTGGAGAAGTTCAGTAGGCCAGGAGTAGTAGCTTGAAATCCAAGAAGGAGGGTGTAGTTGGAAACATATTTGGGAATCATTGGTGCACAGAGAGGGGTGTTGAAGGCACAGAGCATGTGAGATTTCACAGGCAGGGCACAGCACAATTAGAAAAGAGAGCAGAGGGCAAAACCTGCATTTAAGGGGTTGTGGCAGATAACCCAGTGTCATGCCCACATGTGCTCAGCATTCACGGTTTCCAGGGTGGCTGGGCCATCTTACTGAATCTCATCCCCTGGCCTTTCTTTCAAGTTGCATTCATTGGGGGCCAGAAATGCCAGGATTAACAGCTCTCCACTAATGACTGGTGAGTTAAAGGAGAATTATCCTAGCTTTCATGTGCTTGGTGGGAAAACGCAAGGGTAGTATGTACCACCTCACAGAGATCCTGGAGGATGAAGCACCAGTGGGCCACTGCAGTTGTCTCCACATTAATGGGGACTCTTCTTTCTTTTTCCAGTTTTACTTCTCTGCTGGCACCATCTACGATCACCTCAAATAGACACTAACACTCAAGCCTTTGTTTCAAGGTTTGCTCTGGGGGACCCCAATTTAAGACAGGGGCATAGAAGGAAGGAAAAATAAGACCATGGAGTCTAAGTGATGTGAGGAAACCAGGAGGTAATGGTTTCCTAGGAACAAGGAAAGAGAGTATTAGAGAAGAGGTAGGACTCCAGTGGAAATATTTGAGTAGTCACAGATCCAGGAGGCGGAAGCTGCAGCCTGAAATCAGATGTATCTGAGTTTCCTCTCGGCCTGCCCGGGAATCCTGTACCTGTCCACTTTAGAGATGACAAAACTGAGGCTTGTCTGGAGTCATATAACTAATGACTGATTTTCAAAGCGCTGAAATTCAAACATGAGCCTATTTGATTCCAAAGCCCATCCCTCAAAATTGCCTCCTTAGAAACCATGTATTTGGTTCAGAAGCGTATAGGGAAGTTGTAAATGAGGCTCAGTTTGGAAATAGGCTCAAAAAAGCTTTGACAAATTCCAGATGAGTTGATAGCGTGGTGAAGGCCAGGCAGGCCTACAGGAAGGGAAGAAGAGGCTGTGATGGGGGCACCCACAGGCACAGATTTCAGGTGTGGTTGAGATTAAATAGCCACACACAGAGATGAGGCCAAGGTCTTCTGGGGTCAGGGTTGCAAAGGTAAGCACATTTCATCTTATCAATGATGGTCTGTACTGGCAAAGAAATGACAGAGAAAGAGCACGGACATTAGGAAGTCTGCACTTGGTTTCTTCTTCGTCAGATTCAGGGACAGTCCCCACTTCAGCTGTGCCTGCCCAGGGAAGTTTCCACTCCCTACGTCCAAACACTACAAAACAAAGCATTGAGAGAAGCGAAAGGACTATTGGGCGAATTCTGGTTCTGGCACATAGTAGCCACCCCGCCCCTAAAAAATTTTCGTACCTTTTTTTCTGGACTTAACAAGCTAGCCCCCTGTGACTGCAGCCAAGTTTGTGTTGGGTCATCTTCCTTTCTATTCCAGAACCTGAGGCCAAACTCACTCTGCAAGATATACTGCTCAATTAGCGTGCACCTCTTAGCCTTGGCTAATTACCTCTTTTATCAATTAAAAATATTTTTCCCATTAAGCCAAGGAGTTGAGAGGGAGAAAGGAGTCTCTTCTCTATTTCTAAAGGCTCTGAAAAATCCAGCAAGATAATGTCACTGATTTGGTTAATTTCAGGTGCACATCGGCCATTCAACCTAGGTGAATTTAATGACTCAGGACAGGTCGGGCGATGAATGTCCCTGTAAATCATTTATAATTGCAAGCATAAAAATTAAAAATCAGTCTGAAGAGCAAGATAACGTAATGCTAATGACGGAGAGCAGTAATCTGAAGATAGAGGTTCCTCGCTTTAATCAAGCCCATTCGGATGACAGAGCGCTAAGCCTCCAGGGGATTGTTCTGGAAACAAAAGGCTGGGAACCTACTTCAGTCTTTAATGACTCACTATGATAAAAGAAATTAACTGAATTTTCGTATTATAATTATAAAACTTAATAGGGAATTTTTCCCCTTCATACTTTTTATTTTTCTCCTAGTTGAGATAAACCAACATACAGTCCTCCTTACAAGGATGACTTTAAAAGGCCAGTGATGTTCAGCCACTTATTTTTAATTTATTAAAAACTTGGTTAATAAATTATGTCCAGAAAGAGGAATCACAAGTGATATAACGGAAATAGTGGTTAGGAGCTTTAAGATATTTTTAAAAATCTTTACCTTATTTTCAATGTTTGTAAGATATGGTAGTCCCCAACTCAGTCAGAGTCCAAAAATGATGACCAATGAAATGTCAGATTCTTTCCTGGGGTAGTTTTCAAACCACAAATGAACACTCTCCTTCCCTTGTCTTTTCTGCTTAGTGGACACCTAATCATCTTTCCAAGTCTAATTGAGGTGAAACTTCTTCCAGGAAGCCTTCCCTGACCACTACCCTTTCTTCTGCTTTACCTAGAACTTCCCCATCCTGAAGGGCATCATTCTTCTTCCAGCTTTCCTCTGAACCTTGTACAGGAACCTAATCCTGGACTTATCACACTCATAAGCAGAGGCTTACTGTGATGTCCAACAGTAAGGTCACTGTATTCTCTCCTACCAGACTATAGGGGAGACTGTCAGGAAACCAAGATCAATTGACTTTTCAAACACTGACACATTGTAAGCATTCAAAACATACATGTTGGCTGACTATGATTTATCTAAATTCTAGGCTAAACTAGGATAAACAAGTGAGAGAGAAGTCACAAAAACACCAAGCATTTAGCACTGAAGAGTAAAAACGACCAAGGGGAGTGGATTATTACTTTTTTAAATAAACTTCTTTAAATAAATACACAATTCTTGCTCTTGATAATAAGAAACATGGGGTATTTTCTCTAGATCTTTTAAATATTTCCAGGAATCTTTGATAAAATTAGTCTTTACCTGAGCATCTGGGGTGGGATATTGGTCCATATAATTTCCTCTCCACAGGAATTGTATTAGTCATATTGTGAGGTGAATGAGTGAGGATTTTTTAGTTGCAAGCAACAGAAATGACTTCGATCAACCTAAGAGGGAAAAAAGTCAGAGGCAGATTTTGTTACTGAGAGAGTGAAGTACCTCACCAAAGCCCAGGGCAGGAGCGAGGTTGGGCTTCCAGAAGGCTGGAACTGAGAAGTGGGAAGTAACTCACCCACAGGCATGCACTCTGTCTCTCTGGTGAACCCTAGACCCTCACATCTCTCTCACCCCCCATCCAACTGGAGGACTTGTTACTGGCTTCCTCCTCAGAATTTTCAAATCAGTAGGACTGAGGAGGGGCCAAGTATTTGCATTTCCCACCCAAGCTGAGGCTGGGGCTGCCAGCCTGGGCGCCAAGTCTGAGAACCCTGGCAATTTCTGGAGACAGTTTTGGTTTTCAAAACTTTCAGGGGTCTTCAATAAATGATACTGGGAAAATTGAATATTTGCTTGCAAAAGAATAAATAAAATTGAACCCTTTTCTACAAGCCACAAAAATTTACACAAAATGGATTAAAAACTTAAATCTAGACCTGAATCCATGAAACTCCTAGAAGAAAATACAGAGGAAAGTTCCTTTGGTCTTGACAGTGATTTCAGAGATAAGACAACAAACACCAAGCAAGGGAGGGACAGAGGGTCAGAGGGAAGGGAGGTGGAGAGTTGCCCAGCTAGACTTCCTGCTTTAGGCTTGTGGGAGATGCCCACATGTCCTGCTAATAGATTCCCTTAATTAGCTTTAACAAATGGATTTGTTTTTTGCAAATAAAATATCCTGCTGTGATTAAGCTTTGGGAGGGCAGGACTGTGTCCTAGTCACGAGTGAATTGCTCAGAGCCTAGCACAGTATCAGACATAATAGTTGCTTAATGAAGATTTGCCAAATGAATACTTGGATGAGAAAGTTGTCACATGAGGGGTTTAAGAAAGTGGCAGCATTTGAGAATCCTCACCAAGTCCACTTGGAACAACAGAAAGATGAGGGTTTCTGTGGTGAAGTTAAATCTGTCATATTTTTGCTTTTTTATTAGCCAGACGCCATTGCCAAAATTTCCACAGGCCAAAGAAAACACAATGTGAGCCCAGATATTCAGATGGTTATGGTGCTCCCTTGAGAAAAAGAAATTTTGCCTCTGTGGAGAAATAAAATCCAAATTTAAAAAGAATGACCCTGAAAATGTTTCACAAAGTAAAAATAAAATCAAGTGAAAATTTTGGCATATAAATATTACAACTGAAAGGACTGCAGAAGTCCATCCAGCAATACCATTCCTTGAAGCAGTGGTTAGAAAGCTTCAATAAGGCAGTGGAAGGGAGCCTAGATGTCAGGTCTTTGGCCTCTGAAAGTAGTGTCTCCACTTTAACCATCTGCCCTTGGCAGAGTAAGTTCTTACCCTTACTCATTTCTCCACTAGTACAATTTTTAAAACACCTTTTATGATACCCATTGAAACAGTTCCCTTTATTACTTTTGCTCTCCAACCCCAGTCAAAGGTTACCCTCAGGACTGCATTTATGCATTTATAAATTGAGCACATAGTTAAGAAACAACAACCCATCAAACATGTCAGCTTCACTGCAGCTCCATTAAAAAAAAAAAGTTTTAAATGACCAGGTTACCTAGGAAAAAAAACACGCCATTTTCTACTATATTATTGCCTGTGAAACATTACAAGTGCAAAATGTAATTACCTTAATGCTATTTTTGATATCATATCAGCAAATTATACCGAGTCCCCACTGTGACACTTCTATCAGGGTAAGCATTATCCTGTTGTGAGTGTCGATCCCCAGGGAAAATGAAGTCGCTGGAACGTTTTTGATGCTCCAGCAATTAGCCACCTCAAGACTGCCAGGAAGGGCTGATTTCCAAGCCACTTATGGAATGTTTAACGTGTAAACATCTAGGACTTTTACCTCCTGTTTGTTTTTTTTCCAATTAAGCCCCAGAGAATCTTCTCTATGCAAGCAAAGAATCATTTTATATAATAAGAATTTTCTCTCTCTATTTTTCTTCTTAATCATCAGCAAATCCCCTTCGGCTATTAAAATACACACCACGAAAACTGGGAAAAGAGATAATAAGTATATATTGTGCTGAAGACTAATACCCAAAAGCCAGGAGGAGAAAAACCACACACAATGTGATATGTTAGAGGATTAGCTTTCTTCATGTTGAGCAAACAAAAATAATAACATCCAACAACCTTTGAAGGCCAGTGATTTTGCTTTCTGAAGTTCAGAAGCTTTATTAAGAGATTTAAAAGAATGCAAAACACACACACACACATATAGACATTTAAGCATTGCAAAACAGCTCCATTTACTTTGGGTATGAATATACAGTGTGCTGAAGTCAGATCCAACTTAAAGTTAAAAGAAACTGGCTAAAAATACCCCTCTGTGCATTTAAAGTACCAATATCATGCCAATTTTTAAACAATTTCTCTACCAAAATGAAGGACTCCATCCTCATTTCCTTCTTACTGAGGTTTGTTGGCAATTAACTGGAAATAGCTGTAAAATAGATGGAAGTTGTTAATATAATTCAGCTTGTGATCAAATTCTGTAAACATGAAATTTTGGAGGTTGGAGAGTATCCATAAAGACCTATTTTCCCCACAATATAAAACCAACCTCTTAGAAAAGGAACAATTGCCCCCAACTTGACAGCCCTTTCAAGCTTAACTGCAAAGATGAAAACATTAAGGGCATTTACTCAATCTTGAGCATTTCTGCATTTTCAGTGTCTATTTTAGGTAGAAAATCTTACCTTAGGTGGCCATTTCATCTGGAAAATGTAATTAATAAATCATTAGCTCTCAGCTTTGCACACTGCCTTATAAAGTGTACTAAAAAAAGAGGAAGAAAATTGAAGATTTATTCTGTACTGGTCCCTAATGCTGCCCCACATGCTTTCTTAAGTATCCCTGGATCACTAGGAAGCCCAGGTACTTGGATTTACCTGAAGAAACTTGGCCTTCTCCTCTGAGTGTAGAGAATGGTCCCTGCTCTTTCTAAACATCTATTCTTCAATCCTGGGCTCATCATATGTGGCAACCTCATAGGTTGAAAGCAGGGAGGGAGAGGCAGAGAACAGACTACCACCTCAAGGAGACTCAGGTTCTGATCAAGGCACCTTTCTTCTCCAGAGAGAAGGAGGAACTCGGTGGGGGAACTCAGAACAGAGCATTCTTAAATCAGAAGCAGATCAAACAGGTTCAAACCCAAGTTCTGAGTGGCTGTATAAACTGGAGAAAGTGACTTACTTAACCTTTCCAAACCTCAGTTCTGCTTCAGAGCAGGCACTCAACTATTGGCCGGGACTATGATTAAAATGAATTGTTAGAACAGAAGAAACAACATCTCACTCCTAGGGAACATCTCCTAATAGATTCTGATTCATCAGGCACGATCATCCCAGGGTGCTTGGTAAAAGTCGATCAGCAGGGCTAGCATATATTTTTATTTATTTTTTTTTAAATGAGGAAACTGATGCGAAGACATATAAATGACCAGACTGAGGTCAACCTGGTAACTCAACTCCCTTTAAAGTCCTGGCCAAGACTTCAAGCTCATGAAAGGCTTCACTCTTCCCAGCTAATCTCAATGTCTCTCTTACTATCCTGAAATGAGAAGAATGGTTTTAATGCTGTGTTGTATCTAAAAGATTTGTCTTTTTATCCCAGCCCCTTTTAGCCTCTAATTTGCAGTATTTACTAACTTTGCATGTGGTCCTGATTAATGTCTGAGTTCGACCATTGCGGCCGTGTGTATACCACGTTGACATGCAATTCCAATACTCCACAGCTAACTGCAGTGCTCTCTTACTTGGCTTCTGGGTTTCTGTACCTCCCTGCCTCTGACAGCCAGGTATTTGGGATTAAATCCAGTCTCAAATGTTATTTGCTCTGTTTAGTGCTTTTATGATGATTCTCTTATTATCTGCATGTGCTTCAGTGCTAATTGTACATCACAAAGGTTGTAAGCAGGCAGCTTGTGAACAAAATAGGAGAGTGGTGGATCTGGAACAAACCACGGCTCCACAGACTCCAGGCAAGCGAAGGGCCACTGGGAGAAATGCCAAAGAAAAAAGGGGAAATCTTATTTTGTAGTTTTCTGAAAACAGGGCCTTTGCTGCCTTGAGGGCGAAATGAACAGTGTCTGGGAATTCAGCAATGTGTTCTACTAAGAAAACATGTGAGAGAAAAATGAATGTTGTTCCTAAAATCCTCAGAGGGTACCCAAAATAAACCTGAATTTTCAGTCTCTAGAATCCACGTATGATTACATTCTATTAAGGTTTGAAGAAGGAACTATACCATTTAGTTATTTATTTATTTTTGGGAACTATATCATTTAACTGATGAAAATAGTCCAGTGACTTTGATGAGAGTTGACAAACCATTTTAAGCATAAAGATGAAAATGACCAAATAACAAATTCCTAATCCTGAGTTTGAACAGAAATGTACAAAATCATCCTTTTGATATTTATGTAAATCTAAGACCTCACAGGAACAATTTTGTGCCACCCCCCCCCCAAAGCATTTCTGATGGTTTAGAAATTACGAGCCCCAAAATCATGATCTCTAGTGAAATTCTCTATTACGTTCCACATAGTTTGCAAGTTATTTCAAAAGACCACATATGGCACTAAAATGCATCTATAGAAGTGTGATAAATTGCACACAGAAAACAAATTATGTAGTAGTTCTAGGCATTTTTATTAGCTTAAAAATGATTTTAGCATTGACATTTTGCACAGTATAATGAAACACAAATTATAATTAGAAAACATTTGGTGTTCATTCTTAAATTCATCTTTTGCAATTCCCACTTTTCTGACAACTGCTCAGCTGCTGGAGATGAGGGACAGTCAACCATTACCACATTTAAACTTAACTTCCCCATCAGTCTTGAGGAGCCCAGCTGCTTCCACATTTCAGGACGATTCTGCCGGGAGAAGGGGCAGATTTATATGCAGCTACTGAAGCCTAAGCTTCAGGCCCCTTCTCTCACAGGGACCCCTTTCAGACTGTGGAACTAATTTTGTGTTCTCTGTAGTACATAAATTTTACTAAATGCATAATTTACTAAATACATATATTTCTGACCCTACAAAATTGCCGCAGAGTAGAATGGATGAATAAGCATCTGAGCCAAGTCACGGCTAGCCAAGATGCCAGCCCTTCCTCAACCCATCACAGCCAGGACATAGCTGCCTGACCTTATCATGCCATAGGCGGAGACCACTTGGGGAGCAGCCGACACCAGGAGTGACAGGTCGGTGGTGAGTCTCCCCTCCCATGTTGTAAGCAAATACTAGCATAAAGGTGGTTTGATAGGATTTCTCATTTGTAAAGAACACTTTGCTAGCCCTTTGCTTTTTATATAATAAAAAATTTGCAGATCTTTCTGAAGTGAACCTTAACATGCCAAAGGAATGATTCTGGCCAATTCTGAGCAAGTTTAGGTCTTTTTAAAAATCCAGACTTGCAAAATAGCATGCAGTTTGGCTTTCTGAATAAACATCTGAAATTTTCATAGAGAAATCATATACTGTCCAAAAATGAACAATGAAAAAAAAAGCACTTAAAAAATCTTAAAATATACTATCTCTAATTGTACTTAATTTAAAATTTAATTTATGTAGCACAGTTAACTCCAAAATGTTATGCAAGCTCCATACAAGTATCTAAAATATCTGGTCTCTTTCCCATTTTATTTCTACTCAGTGATCAAAAGTTTGCAGATATCACAAAGTAATTATTTCTCTCAAGGCTGTCTAGAGTCTCTTTTTATCACTGCCTAACTACATTTCATCTTAGAGTATCATATGAATACTGCATTAGGAATATATGTGAAGAGATCTAATTTTCTTGGCCACCCTGTTTTCTCTAGGCATTTGTTAGTATTTGAAGCGACTCTCACAATAATTCTGTGAGGTAGATATACCATTACCTTCATTTGACAGTTGTAGAAACAGCTCAGAGAGGCAAAGTAACTAAATCAAGTCAATTAATCACTGAAGAAATGAATTATAATTATTAAAAAGAATTATAAATAAATGAATAAATTCTATTCACTTCCATTAACTAGACAGCTAAATCTCACAGACCATATCCATGAAGATAGTCATGAAGAAAAATGTGGAATTTGTTCCCAAAGATTAACACCTATAGCTTTATAACTCCAAAACAAAGGAAACGATGGTTTGGGGGAGATGAAGACAAGATCAAGTATAAAGATGAGTGAAAAATAAAGACTACACAGAGTAAACATTTTCTAATTCTGACCATGCACTAGCAGTAGTGTGACAAAGTGGGTTTTGCAGACAGAAGACAATGCTTTTTTTTTTTTTTTTAAACGAGCATGCTGAATTTCTTGTAGCTAAAAACCAGTGAGGTTGCTAATTCCTGCATCCTGGAAAATGTTTGTGATGCTTGAGAGCTAAGAAAGAAACAAGCACTAAATAACAACCCAAAGTAGGGGATATTCTTTGGAGAGACACTGGGCTCAACATCAGACCACATACTCCAAGGAGAAGGTGTCAGCATAAGGTCACAACAGTGTCAATCTAGAAGTAAGTTAAGATTCTTAGCTGTAAGTCAGAGATCAGGAAACAAGGTCATTTATTCCAGAAAACGATGTCACTGAGATTTCACCACAGAATTCAGTGAAGATGGAAGAGTGTCCGCCCAGTTACAAAGCTAGAAACTGACAGATTGAATGAGAAATGGACAGAGGCTAAAAACACCAAATCAAGGAAGACAGACAGTCTTTGGCAAGAGAAGAGTGGACCTTTAAAATGAATTTGGGGCATAGGGTTGATCTTAGGTCTTTTGGCATGGATAAAAAATGACAGCAGCATTGGATTTGATCTTGAGAAACAATGCCAATTCCTTATTAAACTGTCAGTCTTTCTTAGTGTCATCCTTAAAGATCTTGATTCGGTGACTGTACCAATGAACCTGAAAGCTGCAAGTTTCAACAGCCTTCCTTGAAAAGTAAACACTGGGCTCTCACCCAGAATTTCTAAAGTTTCTGGTGCCTTCCGTGCTGCATCACGCTGATTTCCCTACAAGTCACATTGAGTTGCTTACTTCGGAAATAATTTGCAGAAAACATCTAACTTTAAAACTATTTCTAACCTGCAGTGTTTTATTATTTGCATAAGTTCCTGAAAGCTGCATTAAACCTCATTTTTGAAGAATCTAGGAGAATAAATGAGTAAATGTGTAAATTAAATAAAACAAGGCATCTCTAGAATTTGATGAAGAACTTACTAAAAAACAACAATAAAAATAAGTAGCTGGTACTGATTTCCCTAGGAGCTGTGGAACAACAGAAACCATATGACTTCCAGCACTACTTTGGGGAACACTGTGGAATGGCCAAGCTGGCAAGTGGAAAAGTTATAAAACTGAAAAAAGTCTACAGCTTTGTCCCATCTATTCTCTCTCAGAGATCATTCCTGTCTCCTGTCCACATGGGCTCCTTTGGGGCTATGGAACAGTCAAGAAAAGGATTAAAACCACATCCCTCTGTCAGGAGGAGAGAATTCCTTGACTTTATAGCTCCTAGGAAGATGCACTGACTTGAAACACTCATTTGTCTACACCAAGCTCTACACCTAAAAGGCAGACTGCAGGGCACATGTGCGTGCTCAGCTGCAACGTGAGCCTGGACCAGCAGTTGAGTCACAGAATCCTGCAGTCGGTCCCTCCACGTCCTTATTTCAGTTCTGGGCAAGGAAAATATATTTACATGCAGGCCCCTCACTTCTAACCCAGGGAGGCAGTAAAACAGCAGTATCTCTCCAACAAGAACTCTAAACAGATGAAGAGCATTAAGGACACTGGTCAGCGCTGCCTATATGTATATGAGGATGCATGGATGATATGTGTGTGCATTTGCTAGGTGTTCGAGAAAGGTATGTTGGGTGAATAAATGAAATGAGGCTGGGGGGTTTTATCATGTCCATCTTCCAGAGTGGCTAAGAGAGGTTAACGGAGGTGTCCCAGGTGGCAGCAGTGAAGCCAGACTTCAAGCCCAGGAATCTCTGTGTCCCTAGGTCTGCCCATACAATTGCATGACCTGAATCCCCCACCGCCTTCTTTATAAAAGCTTTGCTTGAATGCCTATAGCATGTCAAACACTGGGCCAGGGCAAAGAGGTAAAATGATGAAGGCAGCCTTTGAGAAGGACACAGTCTGGTGAAGGAGACACACATCTGGTAACACACAGATATATCAGCACAGATATATTAGCATATGTTAAATGCTAATATAATTAATGCTAATATAATTAAATGCTAATATAATTAAACACAGATATATTAGCATATGTTAAATGTAATAATTGTGTCAGACACAAGGTATAGAAGAACACCCCTCCGTTCAAAGGGATGGGGTCAGGTGTAGAGTTAGAAGTGACTCTTGGCACTGGTGCCCATAGAAGTCTGAGTTTAGGAAAATCCTAGAAGTCATTTGTTATAGCAGCCTGGGTAAGCCCATGCTGGAGAAACTTTCCTCACCATGGGATCACTCTGGTTTCACCAATTTGGGGCGGTCCTGACAGACATACCTCAGAGAAGTATTATTTGAGAGATGTTTCCCATATCAGACTCTGACCTTTTGGGGCTGTTGGGGAGCAAGCAATTCCACCCAGAGAGGGGCAGCGAGTTTCAGGCTTCTCCTGAGTATGTCTCGCCTGTGGCACTACTCTTGGGCCAGACTATGCCTTGCTCACAGACATGAGCACAGAGTGACACACACCTCAGTTGTGTAGATTCAAGGTGCAGCTTTCTCTCAACACCTGCTGAGTCCCCTAAGACATTTTCCCCACCTGCTTCCAGCCACCTCTATTTCCTATTCCCATCCCAGAACTGTCAGAGTAAAGTAGAGGGACAGACAGGACCCCGCTCTTCAGCGTCTGAGGTGAGCTTCTTAGCCGAGGTGCAATTTTCCTGACTTTGGCTCAAGAGTGGTCATCTTCTCCAGGGGAGACATTCTTCTCCTCTCAGAAGTGAGGTATCTTTCAGAACCTCACCACATCAGGAGATCTCCACAGAAAAGTCACTAACATGTAGTTGATATACAGGTCGCAGTGTTTCCTAGCGGGGCCCTCAATGGCAGATCTCAACCATGACTCATTCACTCACCATGGAGAACTCTCTCTAGGCCAGGCTCTGGTGTACAAAGCAAATGAGACATTGTCTCTGTCCTTCAGAGCAGCACCATCCAATAGAAATACTAGGTGAGCCACATAGGGAAGCTAAATTAGCCATGTTAGCCACATTTAAAAAAAAAAAAAAAGTACAAAGATTCATGGGAAATAATGTGACTAATATTTTTATTTTACCCAATATATCAAAATAGTATAGTTTCAATATGTAATTAATAACAACAGTCATGAGTGAGATTTTTTTTGGCACTACATCTTTCAAATCCCATATTATTTCATACCTCCAGCACATCTCAATTCTGACTAGCCACATTTCTCAGCAGTCACTGGCTTTCCTGGCCACTGTTCTGGACAGTGCAGCCTTAGGGATGACAGCCTCGTGGAGCGCGAAGGTGGTTCCACAATCATTAATTTCCTTTCTATGCAAAGTGATGTTCAGAAGTTGTTCTCTCCTTACCCTGATCATGGTCCAGACTTCTCGGAGTGACTGTCCTTAGGCAACCTTCTAGCTGCACTATACCAGGCAATGGAACAGACCCAAAAGAGTAGGGCGTGGCCTGTGGTAGACATCGTTTGCCCCCTGGTAGGCCCGGAACCTGATAGCATGGCCCGCCTTGGGATTCCTGCTATAGCTAATTTTTATAAGGGGTAAAAAGAGCCTGTTGACATTCCCATATCTGAGCTACCAGCCCCAAAGACTTACACAATTGATCTCTTTGGCCAAATCCCATTCCATTATTGCACTCTCACAAATTGATTCTAATGTATAAGATGCTATGGATATTAGTAAAGTTATCAACTAGGACTGATCAGTTGCAAGTGTCAGAAACACCAACTCAAGGGCCTCCCTGATGGCGCAGGGGTTAAGTCACAGCACTATCAAGCTATCACCAGCCACTGCAGCATGAGTTCAATCTCTGGCCAGGGAGGTGACCCACATGGTGCAGCAGACCTCTCCTGTCTTCCCCACTGTTCCCCTCAGCAGTGTATTTCTGTAGATCAGCCTGTTCTGCTCCCCACTCTGTCTCTGGTGAATCCTCTCACCCCCACCCCCCACATCTCTGGCTTACACCCCAGTTCTTCTATGCATAAATAAATAAATCTTTAAAAAACAAGAAACACAACACAAATTAACTCAAGCAACATTAGTGGCCTTATCAGTCCACCCAACCAGAAGGCCCAACGAGGGTAAGTTTCAGGTAAGGTTTCATCAGTTTTACTTAGGACCTGACTTTGTACCCTTTGCACTCCACACTCTTCCATGTCGATATTCTCTTCAAGTTTCACTTAGTGGTCTCTGGCACCTGGTACAAGTCACCCTGAGATCTCAGAGTGGCTTCAATGGCAGCAGACTGTTCATGAAGACGAGCCTCTTTGCCAGTGCCCTACAAATCCTAGAATTCATCCTCTGCCATTGGCCAAAACTGGGTCACATGTTCATCTCTGAACCAATCATCACAAGTAACTACTGACTTCTCTAACAGACAAGACTGTGGCTAATCCCACCCCAACTGTCAGTTAAGAATCGTGGGGAGCGGGGAATGAATGCACCAAGGGAAAAATCAAATCCTCAGTGTTAGAAGCTGGGAGGAGATATCAGAGACACCCCAACAAATGTCCACACAACAAATGTCCATGGTTGTTACTTTATCTTGCCTGATGTGTGGAGGGTTCAATGAGGGAATTGCTGAATTTCTCTCATAGCTTCAACTGTGTCATATAATATTAATTTCAATCCCTGCAGAGAACTGGTATAATCAACTGGACTCCTTTGGATGGAGAAAATCTCCCTAGCACAATACGTATAAGAAAACAAATCCCTCATCCTGGGTGGGACCTCCTTGGACTGCTCTATTGAAAGCCTGAATGTAACCCCAGGATATTAAGACATAGACACCTCCCAGGAGTTAAAAATTACAGCCAGATTTTAGGAGCAAAGCTCAAGACTTTACAGCTCGTACTCTAAGATTACACAAGCAAAACCGGGGCCCACATGGGGCTGGCACATCTTTCAATGTCCTGTAAAGTGATTATAGGAAGCTCGTAGCATCAAATTTTCATGAAGGGTTCTTGAGATAAATTTTTCTTCAGCTCATGGTTTGCTGTGCCAGCCCCTGCTGGTGACGAGAGGGCACCATGTGCAAGGGGGTTGGTTATCCTAGGGGTAACGAAGCAAGGAATGCACTTTGAAAAAGAATAATTCTTGACACTGGAGTGTCTCTTAGTATATTTCTGCTCCACGGGGCATTACAATATCACATTCATTTGAAAGATGGAATGCTCCTCCTAAGTTTATAATCTATAGCAATGACTGTAATTAATAACCAGTGACATCCATATGGGCAGGCACTGGGTCTGCTCTGTTCACCACCACGTCCCCAAATCCTGGAACACAGTAGGTACTCAGTAAATATTTGATAGAGTGAAATTAGACTGAATTTCTTTTGTAGAAGCCAACCCATTTTAACATCCAGGCTCAGCCTGTAGACTCGGTCCCATGTCCTGATGTTCCTCTAGGGGCGTGGGATGGAGGTAAGACAGCGTAGGGGCGGGCGTGGTGAGGCCCTGGTTGAGACAGAATGCCGGCAGAAACCTAACGCAGTCATTCTGACAATGCTAACCCAGGCTGTCCGGAGCTGGGGAAACAGATGGAAAAAAACACAAGCTCACAGGTACTCAGGGCAAGAGGCAACCGGAGGAGCCATAGTACCATCTGACACTGTATCACAAAAGCAGTTGCAAAATGTTCTAGGCACAAAGATGAAGAGGTAATTAAGGATCAGGGATGAGGGAGGATTACAGGAAAGAAGTGCAGATTGTAACTCTTCTGTCCAGAAACTTCTACAAAGGCAACGTCTAGGGTCTCCGGAGACGCACGGGAGAAGGAAGCGGGAAGCCTGTCTTCCTAGCATGGCCAATCTGTTTCCACAGATGGCTGAGTCCTCCCTTCGCTGCCCCAAGGACCTTGGGGCCCAAGCTCTCCTGATCTTAGGGAACAAAGCCCCAGCTAGGAGGCCACACGGGGTGCCAGGCGCTGCCAAGATCATTAGCAGGAAGGGCCTGGAAAGGCTGGCTCTGAAGGAGGCAGTGGGTCTTTTCTGCCATGAGATTTTGCTTCTAGTGAAATTAAATAAACAGTGAAGTGGTTCAGAAGAAGGGACCACATCCTCTGGGCTAGATAGATCTGTTGTGGCCACGTGGTCCCCAGTGTTCCTAATGAACTGTTAATAAGCTGTCAATTAAGTGCACAAATTAGGAGAGATGACACAGAGAGGCTGCAGCAAGGGAACCCATTCCGAGGCTGCAGACTACAGCCAGGGAGCCCCGGGCCTCGAATTTGAACTTTTCCAGTCAATACCTTTGGGGTCAACAATCCGGTCCCATTTTGGAAAGTTAAGATCTGAACTAAAAGTAAACCACTTTTTTTTTTTCTAGTTTAAGTGTCAAAACCCCTCTTGGCTTATAGCAAATCAAAGAGTTAATTCTCTGCTGCAACTTGTAAACCTGCTTTCCTTAAATGGCTGCTGACAGAAAACTATTCTGTGTGACTTTTATTGTCATTTCTTTTCCAGCCAATTGGTTCCGTAGGCTTTCTGCTGCTCATCGGCCCCTCTTCAGGGGAAGAACTCCACACAATGAAAAAGTGAACCAATGAATAAGAAACTTTAGATGTAATTACCCCTGCGCTCTGCCTGCCGCCTCTGCTGCTTCTTCCCAAGGGACTGCCCTAAAAGCGCGTGGTATTGGGGGAGCCCTAAATCACCCTGGCCTGTTTTATTGCCAGAGATGAGATGTGAAGGGAACAGTCCGGGGCTCCATCAGGAGTGCTAAGAAAGGCAAAAGCCACTTAGCACATGGGGGGCAGGGGGTGCGTGTGACTCTCTCTCAACACAAAGGGACATGAAAGGCTTTCTGTGGACCCCAAAGAGAAAGGAAACAAAACTCGCAAGCACTTCTCCGTGAGAATTGTTGGAAGGGTTCCTCACCCAGAATGGGATAACAAAAAGACCAGTTACTGGTTAACTTTAAGAAAGAGCTGGGAGGGAAGGACAGCATCTTAATACAAGAATTGAACCCGCCCTGTCAAAACAAGTTTGTCAAAGACATAGGTGGAGTGATCTTGGGAAACAGGCTGTTAGGAGGGGCTGCCAGAAACACGTGGAGCTGATAAGACCCAAGTATTCCCCTTTCACAGCCCCAAAACCAATCGCTGCTCCCCACCCCGAATGACTAGGAAACCTCAATTGACTGGGCCCTAAATTTTGCAGAATTGATTCCTGATTAGCTTAGCCCTCTGTGACTCAATTTCCCCACCTGCTAAAGAACTAGAATAATAATAACCATCCCAGCAGGAAAGGAACAGGGCCTTCTGCCCCTCTCCAAGCCAAGAGGTGGCCTGGGAAGAGGGTTCAGGCCAAGAGTCAGCTGCCCACCCCTACCCAGGCTCCAGGTAATTCTTCCCCTTCTGAGGGGCCACTGCCTCCTGCTGCCCTGCCTGTTAATCCCAGGGTTCTTCCTCTATCTGGCTCACCACCATCCTGTAGTGATGTGCGGGAGGAGTCCAGCAAATGGGAACCCCAAGACTCAGGCTCCAGAATGAGCTCTGTCAGCCACTGTATGACCATGCAGATACTTCTTAACCTCTCTGAATTTAAAATTTCTTCTCTTTCTTTTTTAGCAGCAGCAGCTTCTTATGCAAAGCAGTGTCTTAAGTAGGGTCTCAAAACATGAAACAGAGAAGGACAGCATTCAGGCTGAAGAAGGGGTGCAGCCAGCAGCACCCCTTTGACCACACCCTCCAGGTTCAGCTCCCCACCTCATTGTTTGAAAACCACTGCCCTCTGAGTAATAGCCACTAATAATTACTAATCAAAACTATTTAGAAAATAAAATCCCAAGCTATTAGACAGCCTAATGTAAGACAGCCAACCATGCCCTTTAAATGCCTGTTCCCTCTGACAGCTGTCTGTCTAGGCTGGGGCTGGCTCCACTGCTTCAAGTGCAAAGGCATTACAACAACCTGGCATCCTGTAAGCCTCCTTACATGACTCTCTATTTCATTCACTGAATCGCTCTGTTCTCCCTTTGTCTTATCCTCATGGTACTTATCCTTTAAAAGAGGCATCTTCTGTCCATTTTGTAACTCATTCCTCCATTCACACATACACTTAACAGCTAGATGAAAGTACACGTATCTTAAAACTAGCTTAATGAATTACAGATTCATTGATAAAATTATTTTAGAATTCCCCCCTCCCATGATCCCTACCACCAGCCACATTGGTCCCCAGCTGCCTAACACCCTCTGTGGTTGATGGAGATTTAGAGTAGAAAATTTGGGATGGAGGTTTCCCAGGGACAGAAACTTGAAGTGGGAGTAAAAATGATTATCAAGTCATTAAACCAGATAGGAAATCCTTAGGGATATTGAGGTTGTTGGTCATTACAAAGAAAGACCAGTCCTTGCAGATTAGCCCTATGAGACCCTAGAAGTGATAGATCTCACAATAGATAAAATTCCACAAAGGAGGGAAACCCCCCGCCCCCCACCAAATCTATATAAGAACAATTCCTGCCCTGGCAAAATGCAGCTCTGTACCCACCTGTGTCTACACAGGTGCCTCTTTTTCCTTCCTCCTTTTCCTAATAAACCTGTCCTTTAAAAAACGCAGGCTTTGCCTGATCACATCTATGCAAAGGTCATTTTCCTCAGCAAACACGCCACGTGCTGCTGAATTGGAAACTGCTGAAACATTTCTCAGAGGGAACCCGAAACCCCACTCACTGAACCCCAACAATTCATCAGACCCCGTCATGGTCAAGAATGGAATTTGCAGGACAGAGGAGGGGCTGGCAGTTTGGGGTCCAATACAATTTAACAGATCTCCTCTCATCAGCATCCCCTAAGCCCAATTTTCAGTCAAAGTAAATATTCCTTCAGGATTCGCTATCACCTCCCCCTTTCTGCACTCTGCCGATTGCATGCAGCAATTCTTCTCCAGGATCTAAATGCTAACTGTCGTGGCAGGCAGCAAAGCCGTGTTCCCTACCCCCAGCCCCTGAGAGGCCCAGAGGGAAAGTCAGCAGGCACAATTATAGCTTTCATGTGTCTTTCTAGAGAGACGACTTAAGTGTTATTTTATATATTTTCTCTGCACCATGTCAGTGATTTTCTCGGGAAGCACAAGCCTCAGGCTTTTACTCCAGCACAATGAAAATTTCATAGAAAAGTTATCCAGACTCAGGAAAGCAACATTTCTTTTTTTTTTTTTTCTTCCAGCCATGAGGGCTGTTTTCTGCTAGATGTGACTGTTATAAACAGTCACAAATAAATCCAAGAGGACACAGAAGGATGTAAAACATGAACAGGGAAGGAAAGAAAAAGAAGGGGATTCGAGATGAACAGAGCTCTGCGTTTGCTGGAAAAAAAAGAATAGTAAATTGCTTTCTTCACAAATGAGAAAACAGGCTGAGAAGGGGTCGGGTCCTACTCATTCCCAAAAGCGCGAGGCCAAGTCACAAGCTTTCATGGCTTGCGTGTGCCCTCTAGTGGGCAAAAGTGGTCAGTGTTTTTCCTTGAGTGACAGCCAGAGTCTCTTATGCACTTGTCGGCCTTCTTATTACATCATGAATTTTGATAAGCCCATTAGCCAGCTAGGCAGCCAGGAGGAGGATGTCTTTCTCACTTGATGACTACACAATGAGGAGTAATATA